GACGCGGGTCCGAGGGGCCGAGGCGGGGCGCGGGCGGCTGACCCAGGAGAGGTACGACCTGGGGCCGTAGGAAGGGTGGTCTTTCCCGCAGAGTTGCCGCTAGAGGAAGGAAAGTTTTTGCATGCAGCCCTTCCAGCGTGTCCTTCCCTAGCAGGGTCCCCGTCGCCCACAGTGAGGCGCCCCCGCGGGGAGTCCCGCGGCTTAGTGGGGAGGAGACAAGCAGGTTTGCACCGCCCGCCACCCCACTCCACCCCAACCACCCCAAGCCAGGGAAGGGTCCCTGGTGACCTCGCCTCCTGGCCACCACTCCCTTTATCATTTCTTCTCTTTCACGGTGGACCTTGGACCGTTGGAGGATACTGCGGATGCCTTTGAGACTGGAGGGTAGATGGAAGTGTTTCTAAAATGCGGGTGAGTTTGGGGCGAGACGAGCTGCTTTCCCATCTCAGGCTGCGGGACATGCCAAGCTCAGAACTCAGTACCCGGTGTCGTCAGATTCTGTGCGCGATATGCATCTCAGCTCGCAGAGAACCCTACTGCATAGACTTTGCTCCGGGATTACTATTAGCGGGAGAGCGAATTCACCGGCTGCCAGAAGGCTGAGCCCCTGGAACAGTTTTCAGCTCCCTACGGTGAGACGAATGTGGCCGGAACTAGCGCATGAAACATACGGCCAGGAATATGATTCCTGGGAGAATTCACTTTAGGCTTAACTTCTCTAGCCAGCCAGAAAGGAAGCGTTAGAGTTCCTCTGGATTTTGGACGTTTGATGCTTTGAGATTTTCCCTCTCTCCGTAGGGGTAGGCGATAAAGGCCTTAAAAGGTGTTCTGGTCTGTTTGTCCGTCCCTCTGTCCGTCCCTCCCTCCCTTTTTCTCTGTCCTTTTGTTTCCTCCTATTTAACCGGAAACATGGGCACTCCCCCCACGCAATAGATGTACTGTTGCCTCGGTTTCCCTAGCATCCTTTAGCTCTTACTACTTTTGTTTCTGCCCCTGGCTTAAACGCACTGATTCGAAGTTGCTCTGTACTGACTTGAGTTCTGCCTTGGTTGTGCCATCTATTTTCCCTGCGCTTGGCATCTTGTACCTCAGAGCCAGGATTAAGAATGGGCAAAGGAGGAAGAGTTAGGATTGGTCTTCAGTTGTGATGTTTGTGTGAATGGGCTTGTTTTTTGTCAGACCCAGATAAATTTCATTTGCCTTTGCTCTCTTTGGAAAGGTTCCTACATAGGAACCACTAAGTGGCTAAGGGGCCACTGGGTGGAGAATTCTCATTTTAGTGTCGTTAACAAGTATTTATTACTTATTGACCTCTTACAATATGCTTGACACTGCGCTTAACCTTTCCTCCTTCCTTCCTTCCTTCCTTCCTTCCTTCCTTCCTTCCTTCTCCTTCCTTCACTATGTGTCTTTGTCAAAATCTCTATCCCTTGGTTCACTATTAACATCCTTAAACCATGAATCTCACAAAG